CTCAAACTGTTGATTCGAATTCACCAAAGTAAAATAATTATCTCATGTATGAAACTTTAGCTCGCTTCGCTACAAAGCAATAGCGATAGGTAACATTTTAAAAATATTAAATCTTTTTACAAAAAACAATTCTAGGAAATGGTGGACCATTAACGAACTCGTCTTTGGGTGATTACTGTTGACAAGTTGTTCGGATTCAAGTGTTTCTCGCACTTAGTAAAAAATGAGGATGGGACTTTGATTCTGACTGAAAACACTGAACATTTTTCAGCTGCAGGTGACTCTAAAGCATCGGAAGAAACAGAGAAATAGGGCTTTGAATTGGATTTGCAGTTTGGAATGCTTGCTTTGGTAAAAAATGAAGAATAATCTGAAAACCAAGTTCCTTTGCACTGTTCCGTAATATAATTGAATGTTGAATTTTTTTAGGGTCCTGTGATGACAACACTTTATCGTAATGCCGAAAAATTGCACGCCAAACTTTGCGAAAAACTTCGCCAATTGGCAGCATTTCGTGCCGAACTGTACCGCTATGATGTGGAAAATGGTGATACGCAAATGCGTGATATTGCTTCTTATAGCAATGGATTCTACACTACCTCGTATGTTCATTTCACTACTTTTTAGTACTTTTGCCATCTCCCTCTGTTTAACAGAGTTTTGTAATACTTTGTGTGTTAGCAGGACTTATGAAGAAAGTTCCAAAATCACAATATTTTTTCATATTTCACTTTCTGTGAAAGGCGGAGACAGTGGGAACTGCCTTGAGTGACTGTATTTTTTCAAGAGCAACTATTTTATAAATAAATTTATGAGCATTTGTAACCAGGTATTTCATCTTATATCTTGTGTTGTTAGATTAACATTGATTTTTTTTGCTGATTTATAAGTGTATTTTATATTACCTGAGAGTGTTAGTTCGTAAAATTGCCTAAGCTGCTAGCTCGTGAACTGGAAAAGTCAGAAAGCTGAAATTTTAAGGGAATGTTCCCCGCCACGTAGTTCTTAATGAGTTCCAACCCGTGATTCTCATGTACGAGCTCGTGAAATTTCCAAAATTATTTCCAAAATGCGAGCGACTATACTTCGTCATTTCAGACTTTTCTGAAGGTGCCACTTTTACTCGATTACTTTCCACTGTTCAGGCATGATCACCTCAAGCCTAACATCGTTAAGGGCCTTTCAGTTCCCTACTAGCAAGGTCAACCAGTCCACCGTGATTCGTATCCAACAGAAATAGGTATCGACGAAAGCAGCTAAGCCCAATGTGTAAAATTTTTTTGAAATGCTGACAAAGTCATTTATTTCAGTGATCGGTGTGTAGGCTGTGTGAGCTCACTGATAGTACACTGCATTGGATTGATACGAGCGGTA